TTTTTTAGCTTGTTTACTGTACACCTTGTCACATAGCAGCTTTTAGGCATTGCTCTGTTTTTTGTTATAAGTCAGAGATGACAAGGAGGCAGCTTCCCGCAATAGACAGTCAATGGAGAGCGTTGGATTTTCCTATCATTATGGTTCATTCCATAGGAGTAATGGGTTTTATACTATCTCCCCCTACACTAACCCTTACGAAAATAATTTTTTTTCTCATTGGACCCAAAAACGGACAATGATTTCAGATATTGCTATTTTTGTATAGCCCCCATAAAATAGGGTTTACCTGAACCACACACACCCTTATAAACCGATCACATTTGTAACACCACTTAGTCATTCTTTCAAAACCTGATCTCATGATTTCATTGTAGTTGCACATATTTTCATCATTGTTTCAAAACACAAGATCATTGTGATGTGTATTGAGAACATTTGAATTAATCACCAAAACACAACGATCTTCTTTCAATTTAGTACTTTTTAACAATCAGTTCATTCAAGAGCAAACAATAATCCTACTCCTAAACCTACCCTTACGAAAAAAACAAATGTCTCATTGGACCCAAAAAAGGAAAATGATTTCAGATATTGCCATCTTTATGGGGACATTTTGTCACACACACACACACACCCTTACAAAATAGTGGTTATCATCTTAGATAAATCACTTTTAGTGTAAAAATAATTCAGTGCATTTGGTTATCCCTAAATTGCAATCACATTCTATAGAAACTAAATATCTATTGAATCTATATTTATAGATGCACCAAATGATTCACTGATTAACCATTAAGATGAGTTAGATTAAATAATAGATAAATGTATTAAACTGAATGAGAAGTCATGCTAATGAAATAATAATTACAGTAATACAGGCAATAACTGTCATGTTAGAAAATACAGTTACATTACCTAACTTGCATATCTCACATAAAATCAATGTTTGTAAAGGTATTTATCACAAAAGGTGTGATGACGGTATGACATGGCCATAAGGTTTTGTGCTAGAACAGATTTTACTGTCAATGCAGTAAATGTCATCACTGTGCCATATCACTGAATCTATATTCTAGCTGAATTTTTCAGATATGACAATTTTTAAGTAGTAGTAGCTTTATGAAAGGCAGTTACTGTGAATGAAACATTTATATAGATGAAACACTTATTTTGTGTAGTGAAAAGGATATTTTTTGATTGTGTGTATTGTACTAACACAATTGAAAATATGCTGAATTGTTTGAAAACAGTGCACTTTTGATGATCTGTTGGGATATTAGTAGGGATGGGCGATACCACTTATTTTGTTTTCGATACGATACCGATATTTTTCAAGGCAGTATCGTCGATATCGATAACGATTCGATACTTCTGGACTAAACTTTTAAATTAAGAAATGTATTAAATTATTAAATTACTAAGAGTAAAATGGGTAATGATAAGC